CCCCAAAACCCCAAAACCCCGTAATGAGAAATCATTATCATACTTTTGCAATTGTAATTTGTCTGAATAAATATTAATTTAAAAAAAAAATATCTTAATTACTTTTAAAAAGGTTATTAAATATGAAACTTCTTGACCCACTATAGTCATACAAAATTGCTTCTCAAATAACTTTTGTCCAGCTAGGATTTATCTTAGCTATTAGTGAACATCTTATAAGAGATGAATTCTAATTAGAAAATAGAGATTCAGCTATTTTATATATGTTCCTTGCCCACATTTTCTCCTTTACTATGGAATTTATTAGAGTGATGGCTTCAAAATTTGACATTAACAATCGAATTATTTTTTTCACTTCTAACTTTCTAAGTGCAGCTACTTACTAAAGCGCAATATTCTATGCTTAACTTAAAATTGTTGATACGAATGATGATTCTAGTTTGAGCTCAGATGCTAGAAGTAAGGATGAAAAGGCCTTATTATGGTTACAGATGGAGATCACTTACTATTACCTACATACTGCCCTTGTCATAGTTTTCCTTTTCTATCAGTCTGTTTTTAACTTGAAACTCCGTGAAATGACTTTAAATTATGTAAGAAAAACTGAAGATGAATTATAAAAAGAGAGAGAAGAGAGGGCTAAAAACGCCTAACCACTGCTGGAATAAATCTAAGATGAAATGAATCTTGGAGCAGTTTCAGAGATTCAAATATAAAGAAGAATTAGGAAACTAAATAGAAATTTCAAGAAATAATGGAATGAAAACTACAAAAATATATGGTCTCCTGTTTAGTAAAACTAAGACTTCTTAATTTTGGCAGGATCTAAAATACAAGTATTTATAATTCACGGAATTAACCTGTACTTCACGATCATCTTTTTATCTCAGCATGATGAAAACAGACGAGAGGATTACAAGTCATATTAGACTACTTGCATAAGTATCATTACGTTCTCTTTCTTGATTCACATTTATACTATCATTGATGAATTCAGTTTATTAGATTTCTAGAAAATCAAACTATTTGGATGGACTATTGAAGATATAGTTGAAAAATTTGAAGTTTTTACGCCCTATCTTATCTGTATAGTTATAATACTCTAAATGATATTCGTAGAAACACCAGAGATAATAGCCAAATATTGTGCTGGAAACTTCATTGCTATTTTTATTGGATAAAAATTAGTGGAATTATTTGAAAACATAGCAGAGGCATTAGCATCATGTCTAAATAAGCAAGAATAAGTAAGGATGAAAAGAGATCCAGCAGATAAATTTATCAAATCAGAGAAAACTACTATTAAGCAAAGACTTATACATCCTTATATGAGCACAGTTAGCTTAGAGATTGATATTTATGCTATAACCTTCATCAGCCTCTATGATGTCCAGCTTTAAGATTAAAAATAGCTTGAGGAAGCATTGCTTCCTAGGTCAGATTCTTAATAATAATTAGATAACCAGTAGAAAACTTCAATTAATGACCAAGAAAAATTAGAAGATAAAACAGAAAAATAGGAAGGTGAAGATAGCTCAGCTGATGAGGATGATGACTCAGAATAAAACCAGGATCAGGATTAGGAATAGGAAGATGTTGATTTTTTACCTAACAATAAGGTAGAGGCAGCAAAGAACTTTGCCAGTTGTGCTTTCATATTCTTGATTCAGTTCTTGCTAGTAGCTTTAGTGTCCTTTGAATTTAGCATTACTAACTAAGAGGAGTCACTAACTTATGAGGTGCTTTTGACAAGACTTCTTTGTGCAATTTTGTTGCATATGCAGCTTGAAAGAGAATTAAGATAATCATTGACAATGTTAAACTTTGCTAGATCAATGGTCAAGCCAGGATAAAACAGAAACGCAATGATTGTTGTAAGTTTTATGCAATTTACAAGTGCTTTCGGAACTGAACTCATCAACATCTTGCTTATCTGTACTTAGAATTCAGTTAAAGATGTCATTATGAACTTCATTGCTCTTGGTGTCATTGCTGAAATAGATGATATCTATGCCAGAACCCTTTACAACAACCCTATTAAGTAAAAGCTTGAAGATCCCGACTATAAGCCTTTGAAAATAACTGCTAGTGCTGCTGTGGCAGGTACTCATGAGTGGTATATGCCCGCTACTGTATTTCATTGGATTATGATGACGTTCTATCAGTGCTATTATTACTATTTCATGCCTTTTACAGCTCTGTTACTGAGCTATATTCAAAGCAAATATCAAGGACTCTGATCCTTTAATTGCTATTGAGAAAATTTAATTGCTTATCTTTTATAATTTTAAATCTTTATTTTATATTCTTGAGATATATTTAATTTCTCTCAACTCTAATCATGACTTTACGGGGTTTTGGGGTTTTGGGGTTTTGGGG